ATACATTTACCTATATCAATATCCATTTTCCAAATACATCATGTAAGCGGCACCCTAGAAACTGGTAATGCCCTCTTATACATTAGACTGATGCAAGAAGGTATAATAAGGATTAATAGCATGAAATTAAGAGTAGAGAAATGTGGGCTAGCCATTCCTGAGAATGAAACACAATGGATCAGTCTCCCAAAGGAATTAGTATTCATTATCTGCATCACCATGGCTTGTATGAGCCTTAAGCTGTGGACCAAGACCCACTGTGCTAGCCACTACAGAAACACTATCACTTTGGACAATAGACACTAGACTTGACAAAGTGTTAATAGCACTATTAGTTCCCAAATACTGTAAGGAACCACACAGCTCTGCCAGACAATGGACTGCATAGCCCATTAGGTGTTTTTCAGAGCTTCCCTATGAAGCACAGAATCTGACAAATATTGAAAAAAAATGTAAGAAAAACTATTTGTAAGACTGCATTATCAGGAACTGCATGATCTTAGTCCTATCTTCCTACCTACTGAGTACTTCCTTTGGCAACTTGATAAACATGGATATGAACAGGTGCAGAGGGTGCACTGTACCTTGCAAGAGGTTCTCAAATTCCTGCCAAACTGGATCCCATATCACTGTTGGGGCTGACTAGATGAAAGATGAACAAAGGATTTTTTTTTTGACAAAAGTGTCCAGGGGTCTGAGAAAGATAAGAAAGGCTAGTATGTTACATACAGATAAAAGTAGCAGCCTGGATTTTGCAATTCTCCCATCCAGAACTATTGCAACCTGTTAGGTTCCAGGCACCTTGGGGTGCCATGAAAAACTTTAAGGATGCCACAGGATGGGAGGTGATCAGGAAGGTGCAAGAAGATAAGCAGATAAGGGTGGGCTTAGACTTTAGGTATGTGGAGATAAGCAGATGAGGGCAGACTCAAGCTGTTCCCCCATCCCCCACTGCTTAACCCCTCTGCAAAAAAGTAAGCTTTTGAAATGGGGTGCCACTCAATTCACAAAAGTTATGGAGGGGTGTCTTGAGTCTCAAAAGGTTGAGAACCACTGCCATAAGGTTTTGTACTAATCAATTATGATTAAACAATGTTCGTTTTCAGAAAATAGCACACCAAACAAGATTGTTCCATTAAGAGTTTGCTAAGTAAAGCATTATAAAGTGGTTTTTGCCTTTGTTTACGAAACTAGAAAAGTTTTCAGGGCTGTTCCTTCATCCACAGTCCTCTAGAACCGTCATTTAAGGATTAACAGTAATAGCTCCTGACTATCAGTCAAACTTGCTGTGCAAGGCAAAGTTGAGCTGCCACATGACTTCCTCCTGATGGGCTCTCCCAGGCGCTCACAAGTGCAATATCTAAATATTTTAAGGTCATTACAAACTGACCTACATTTTTCCCTTCAACAATGTCAGCATAAACCTGGAAAATCATGACTCAGCCCCAGGAAAAAAATTGATGCCTGCACCAGCACAGGCTAGAGACTAAAAAAGTGTGTGGTCCTGGAGCTCAATAAATATATGAGAGTGGGTCTTTTAATTTAAACCACCTATTGATATCTTTGTTGTGAGGGATTTTGCAAGCTCAGGTGGTTAAAAACTGAACCCAAAGAAAGAAGCAATGAGTTATCCCTTTGCATTTCTAAGGACGTTCCTTTTATAGGTCAGTGGGGGATGACCTTTTTGGAAGGAGTGCCACAAACTAGCCCCACATTCTCCCCAAGTGCCGTTGTGATCCCCTTCCTCTGCCCAAGCTGCTGCTCTGCTTTCTGCTCCTTGCCCTGTGCTTAATGCCTGATCCGCTGCTCTGTTGTCTGCTTTCTCCACGACCTGCTGCTGCGCTGCTTGTCCCCAGGTTTACCACCTCTGGTATAGATTATACAGCAGACTGGATGGCTCCATGAAGGTTGAACTACTCCAGAGCAAAAGAGAAGATTTTGATTTTAATTAGGATGGATTTCTCCTTCTTTAACTTCAAAACTTATAAACATTTTTCTCCATGTTTTAAAGTACTGAAACTCATGCATTTACATCAGGCAATACACTAATTATTAAGCACTTCTGTCACCAAGAATCATCTCTACTCTCCATTATATGTATGGATAACAACTATTGACTTTGATAGCTTTTGTATTCATATATGAGGGCAAAATTGAGACAGGTGCTGTGGTTCAGTAAACAACTTTCATATTCACAAAGACAATTGCTAATCTCCTATGGTTTTGCAGCACAATAATAAACCTCATCCTGTTCCCACTGATTACAGTGGAGAGTTTTGCAGCTGATTTTGGATGGGAACATGTCTATGCTCTGAAGCTGGAACATATATATCAATTCCTGTAAACTCTTTGCTTTCTCTTGTCACTTGCATCCATCTTAATAAGACTTAAGACACAAGTGTCAAATATATGGCCCATGGGTCAGATCTGGTTGGAAGAATTGGGTCATCTGTCCCACAGCCTTTACAGGGGGGACCTTTCTGAGGCTGTAGCCAAGTGCCTGGGCAAGAGCTGCAGTGCTGAAGCCCCAGCAGCACCATAGGAAGAAGCCCAACTCCACAGCTTGTCCGTGCAGTGGCAGCCACGGGCCCAGGATGCCAGACTTTTTCCCATCGGGTCCTGGACTGAAATGGGGGGAGGTCCCTGGGCCGGATCCAGCCTGTGGGGCCAGCCCCGCATCAGTCATCTGGCCTGTGAACCCATTCTAGCCACCCATCTGGCCCCATAGGGTCAGATTAGTCTGACATCCCTCACGTAAGTTAAAAAAAAAAATTACTCTGTTTGGTCCATTATTAAACCTGTTTTACTGGCAAGCAGGTTCTCCACACAACTCCAGGAACCAATCTGAAATTGGCTTAATGGACATTTGGCAATGCAATTTTGCAATCTTACAGGCAGGCCGGAGACTAAAACAACTTATTTTTCCATCCGTTTATAAAAATAAATGCACGTATGACTGATTGGTTTGTGTGTGTTATACAGGGGCCCCTACCTATGCTTTTCTGGCATAAAGTGCTCTCCTATTTGGAAAATTCAAAGAAAAAAATCTTTGCAGTTCACAGAGCACCAGAACCTTACTAGCAACTGGTAGTAAGTGAATATACAACAAGACATATGCCGAGTGAATCACAAAATTTACATTTCTTAAAGTTTGGATCTATAGTTGCAATTATTTTTAGCTAATCCTAGCAGTATCAGATCTTGCAACAGAACTTAGCTATTACGCCTTTCAGAGCTGGCATTTTAATACGTGCATTATCAAGCATACAGATAAGCAAGTTGTAGTACTCAGTACTTGGCATTACCAAAGCAGTCTGGGGCAGCATTTTAGAATAGTTTGCTGACATGAGCAGGGGAGCCATGATAAATATGTGAAAGGGTTTTCTCCTCACTAGTTCTGTCCTACTTTTAAAGCTTTCAGTATATTAAGCAATGTTATTCTCTACCTAACCTCAGCAGATGGCACAGTTTTCTTCCGTCTTTTCAGTCTTTGTAGCATGGCTAATAAGTTCTGGGTTTGAGCAGCTTAGACCTCAGGCAACTACTATGTTGGAATCAATTATGCAAAGCCCATTCATTTTGATACAATGTACTGAACTGCCTCTGTCACAGCAAATAGGATGGCTGTTTGGGGGTTTTTTTATCATTACAATTTCCTCATCCATAGCCAAAGTTGGCACTTTTCTGTCAAGGATATTGTCTGCTATGTAGGATGCAATTCCCACTTCCAGTTTAATCAAACCACGTTTAAAATTCCAGGAGCAATTAAAGCTGAAGACATTAATTATATTTATAACATGAATCTAAGATGCAAATGAGATTAAGAACCAAATTCTTGCAGTATGTGCTTTTAGAAATTTGGTTATGAGTGACTACCTAAAATAAAAAGAAAGGAAAAGCACAGGTTACCCCCCCAAAAAAATGGACAGAGAAGATGGAACATTTAATCTGTTAACAGGGAATTACTATTAGCTTTGTGTTTTAGACTTGGTATATGAATACACCTAATCTCTTCTTTAATACCATTCTCTGAAACACTGCTTCTGACCACTACCCTGTCCTAAAATTTGTTGGGTTTGTTTCTTTGTATAAATTATTTTCAACTAAAATGTCATTACTTAACGGACAGACATTATCAAATGTCCGTCAATTTTATTTGTGTGACGTATTACACTTATTCACTGGATGAAGTAACACTACACATTAAATGATTACACTATTTACTACCCAAATAAACAACCAAACACACTGGTAATAAACCCTTACCACCTCTGTAATTTTTAAACATGAGTATCTGGAGACAGTGATTTGTTAAAGGAGGGGAATTACAATATGCTGTGTGTTTATGAGGTCATATTACAACAGTAATAATTTTTTCATGTTACTTTTGAATGCCCAAATACTAGAGAGAGAGAGTAAAACAAGTAGCCAAAAAAGTTTTATTCAAAACTTTAAAAATGTAAAATAATTGATCAAACATTTCCCTACAGTTCAGATGTTGCCAGGAAGTCAAGCTCTGGATGGAGCAGACAACAATACTTTCAATATTGTCTCATAACACTGTAGAAACTGGGGAGAGTGGCATGATTCTGAACCTAGCAGTGAGACACAAACCCAAATGAAGGGCATAAGACAATCATTCAAGAAGGAAGCTTAAAATAAAGCTTGTGTAACATCTTTTATGAACTTAATTTCATGATTCTATATGTCCATATGTAAAATATTTACAACAGTAAATGAGATGTGACATTTGAATACAGAATAGGAATATATGGCTTGAAAGCAAGGCATATCTCTCATTATGAAGGGCAGGAGAATTCCTGGGAGACAGAGCAGTATTTCTGTATAATCATAGGCTTGATTTTCAAGGCATTTGTAAGAATGCATTTCTACATGCATAATATATGCCTGCTTAGCACATTCTCATGCACTTGTGAGTCCACTTCAGCCAAGTGCATGCACACAGACATCCAGTGGTCCATTAATAAGTAAAAGCTTACCAGCTTGCTGGGAAAGGCATCAGATTAGCTGGTTACAGCCTTAGTGTAGGGACTGTCCATGTAGTGCTCAAACTTATGAGACCTTTAGGGGGACAAAAGTAGAAGAACTAAGTCACAAGAAACTTGTCTTCCCTTTTTGAGAACTTAAAGACTGCTCAGCTTAAATACAATTGTCATAAGAAACGTGCTCATTTTCTGCTTTGCTGCTATGGAACTAGCTTACCAGCACTTTCAAAACTTGTTTCTTCCTTGTCTCCCAGCTTCCCCCCACCCATTTCAATTCAATCTCAAACTGCAACGATCATTAAAAACAATGAGCATGTCTGGCGCGAGTAAACGTGCCTTGACTATCAACTATTCATTAAGTACCTGGCACTGGATCCATAATATGGGCTTCTGACACGGAAAGAAAAGCTTTAGAGCTCATTGAAAAGTACAAGCTTTACATATAAAAGAGTTAAAAGGTGCACCTTTGTCTAATAAATAAGAGGAGGTGAAATCCTTTGTGGTGATGTTGATAGTCTCATCATTTGTGTAAGTTAATTCTCTTATTTAGATACCACCTTTTCCAAATCACAGATAAATTAAGTCAACTTTAGCTAATGTGGTAATGATTTGTAGCGAGTGGCAGAAATTCCCCCGTAATTATGCATGAATTGATGTGTGATTTCCTAATGAGCTTAAGTGAAGAAATCATCATTTTGTGATAAATGCTTTATTTCTTGAAATGGTAGTAACACATTTCTAATAAATTGAATCAAGCTACTCACATTCGTGTAACATTTGCAATGATTAAAAACGCAACCTTCTACATTGCCTTATAGCTTTGGCTAATTGCAGCAAGTTAAGGTTTGGTGTTTCATAAACATGACCCTAACAACAATTCATTTTGCTATTTCTTCCCCCAGAACCATAAATTATTTCAGCTTGGAGTTAATTTTCATCCCATGGGGATTTCATGCCTGAGAGAGTCATTTTGCTAGTGATACAACAAACCTAAGGATCAGGAAATGCAGTCAGTCAAATGTTTCTGCCTTTTGGTGTGCATCTTGTCCTCTGAGGTCAGAACCCAACAGTACCAAAGCTCATCACTGGACTCCCATTTAAAAGATCTTAGAAGCTATAATAATCTCTGCATCCATTCTCTGTAATTCCTTGCACCTTTAGCCCTCACTGCAGGAACTGAGTAGGACATCCCACCCAAAAGCATTGCAAGAGTTCTGGAATAAGAAACCTTTCTAGAATAACATGAAGGTTTTTTGCTACAGACTCTCACTAACCCACCCCCAACAAAAAAAACAAACAAAAAATAACTTATATCAGCAAATCCAGGACAGCTGGAAACCTAGAGACCTCTATGAATTCATATGCTTTGCCCCCAAACAGTAGACAATTACAACTTCCCACATTCTCATTCATTGAGACATTAGAATTAAACTTATTCCACATGTCTTATATGGGTCAGTCACCTATTTGAAAGGTATTTGTTTGGTCAATATGAGCACCTGGCTTCAGCCAAGCATGTTTGGTGTTCTTTCTTGCCATTATCAATAATCTTCTGTTAGAGCTTCAGAAGAAAAAAGCTCAGGGAGAGTTAACTGCACCTCAAATTTGAGCAAGTCTTGATATTCCGCATTGAAAGGATATCTTTGTTGAATTCCTCAAAAGAAATAAATTTATCCCAGACGGAAAGAAGACAGAGTCCAAGACAGAGGAGAAGGACAGAAAGTTAAGCCTGAACCACTCAAAAAACTCAGGTGCAGCAGGGCCTGTCCCTCTTACAAGTTAGAATGTAGAACTACAGGGCTCCATATTTGTATCAGAAGTGATAAGAAGGGATCTCCTACTTGATAAATACACCAAAGTGCTCATTTGGATAGAGAAACAGGTTGTGATGACTTAAGTGTAAGTTATCAGAAAGCAGGACAAAAATATTTTAGCTAAATTTGTATTGGTATCTCTAAGAAGCAAAGGAAGTGACACTAGTTTATCACATGAGTTTACTGTGACAAATCCACTAGTGCATAACTGGAGTTGGTAACTACTGGTGCATTGATTTTACTTTGAACTGAAAGTCTTTGTAGTGACTGCAAGCTTCCTGGATACAACGTTTCAAAAATATTTCATTTTGTTTCTGATACTGCACAGTTGCTGGCACAGGCAGTCCTCAGACTTAGGACCCAATTGGTTCCTAAAAACCACGTCTTAAGTCAAAATGTAACTCGGAACTGATTTTTCCATAAGAAACAATATTATAAATGGGGGATTGGTTCCTGAACCAAGGCCTGATACCCTATTTTCACCAAAAATAACCCAGAATTTTATACTCAATCAATTATAGATGAGTAAT